TGTGGTCATTAACTCAACTGATGGCAATTTCACTGAATAGTGAGCCTCTCGTTTGAGAGATCAAAAGCATGCATCGGTCAGTTCTCTGCACATTAAAAAAAAAAAAAAAGCTTTGCTTGTGTTTAATGAAAAGGAAGAGATTTGACCATGAAAGAGATGCCTAACAGAATCAGAAACACAAAGTGGTTCTGAAGAACACTGACACTGACTGTTAATAGAATCACAGAAAATCTTCATTTGTTCCATATCCTCTGAAGCTGCAAAAGGTCGCCTGCAGGAGTCCCCGAGTGGGGCCCAGGCAGGCGGCATGTGTACCCAGGTGCATTCACATTGCTGTGGCAGCCCCCCGAGCAGGGCTGGCCAAAGTGGTCAGAGCGGGCAGGGGCGGGCTTTTCAGACAGTCCCATTCTGTGGTCTCCAACCTCACAGGCTGTCTTCTGGGGTGTAGAGTGCAACCAAATTTTACCAATGAATAAAACGATTTTCATTTCCTTTCTAGCAGAATTTCTGCAAGGAACTCTCCTTGTTATTATTTAAACTAGAATAGTAACAACCTTAAAACATCTAAATTCTTTGTTATATTTTGGCAAAATTAAAGCATCTTTTGAAAAGGAAAAAAATAAAAAGAGGGGGCAATCCCAAAATACAGGGCTTTCTTAGAAAGCAACGTGCACCCCGTCTTCAACAAGTTACCCGGGCGGTTTCAACCTCCGCCCCACACAAGGGATCCCTGTTTCTGGGGGCTTCTGCCTTTGTCCACGCTGCCCCCCGAGAGGTGACACTGAACCCACTGGGAAGCAGGGCTGTTCGAGGCTTGGACTGTGGGTGCTGCGGGAACATTTTCTACTCTGCCCGCAAAGAGAGGAAGAGCTGGCTTTCTCCACTGATCCTTTCTTTTTCTTTTCTTTACCTTTGTCTTCTTTTTTCCCCCTCAAATCAGAGTTTAATGTCCTGGGACTCTGACATTTTGGCGAGTGTTTTCTTCACACGCAGGGCTGTCAGTCTGGACGCGGGATTGTGAGCCCAGCACTCGGTCATTAGTTTCCCCATCTGCCTCAGACACTGCAGGGAGGGAAAGGGAAAAGTGGGAGTGGCGTTAGAGATATGTATTTATTATGTGCTAGGCTGGCCCTTGATATTTGGCTTTTAATTTTGGGTTCCTGGAGTTTGAATACATTTTCAAAAGCTCCTTTTAAAACCATGTAGACAACATTTCCTAACACTTGTTTTTTCATGCAAATTTTCAATGACTAGGACAGATTTTCATAACGTCCTTCTGCTAGGAGCAAGCAAGTGGTGGTGCTGATTGAAGAAGAGTGTCTTTGAAGTCAGCATTAAATAAATACAAAAATACACAGGGAGTCTGTATTCCACTCCACACTCCCGGTTTGTTTATAACATTTGATCAGCTTAAATCTTTTATCTCCTTCCATGCTATTCAAACAAACACAGTTATTCCTAAGTCGCAGCTGTCTGCTACAATAATAACATCACACTGTCGCTTTTAACAAGATGCATGACCTGTGCGGGGCCTCAATAAAACTTTCTCCTACATAAATTATTGGTCTTCCCGTTGAGAGCACAATTTCACTCCATTAGAAATCCTCAGTGAAGGAATCTGGGGTATTACCAGTGCCTGCAACCAGCTTCAAAGGAAGGTAACTCCAGCATCTCCTAAAGCTTTCTGCATAGCTCACTGGAAAACATATGTATGATGTAGCATAAAACCAATGATCCAAAGGTTGTTTTTAAATGCATTTAACGGTGAAGAATTATTTCATAAACAGCGCTCTGCCCACATGTTTGCCCTGGCTCTGGTACATGTCTGATGCTCAAGCATCTTGAATGTGCCAGCCTGCCGGAGTGCTCCAGGACGTGGTGAGTGTACAAGCTTAGAGGATGGATGGAGAGGATGGGGAGCAGGTGAGTCAGGGAAGGCAAGGCCCGCCCCACTCAGTTCCGCCTTATGCACAGCTTCTCTGCAGACCTGTTTTAGGCTTCACCGCTGTACCCTTACAGCCCCACTGCACGTGGATTCCTTCAAATCTCGTCTCCTCATCCTTATTAACAAAGATCCACAGCATCCTCAGGCATCTCAACGAGGTCAACTTGTATCACTTCTCTGTATAGAAAATGGCATTTCTCAGATGCCTATCTTTTCTCTCATCAAAATGTGAGAATGTTGCATGTGGGTTTTTCATGGAGAAAAACTCACGATGCTTTAAACACACACACACACACACACACACACACACACACACACACACAGGAAAAATGGCAGCTGAATAGGCAGACATGTCCTTCACCTTGTTCCAGAGTAGATATAGGGAGCAACTGAGTCAAATAACATCCTCCTTGAATTGTCGAATTAGACAGAGCTGGTGAGACAATTCACAGCCGGGAAGGGCAGAGGACGCCTGGAGAACGGTAGAATCAGGGATCTGGGCTGGAAAGAGATGCGTGACCACCGGGCCAAGAGGGTCCAGAAGGAACTGCGCTGCACCAAGTCCGTGTCCACTGGGGACAGATGTAACATCCGACTGTGGAAAGGAAGTCCACAGGGGTGCTGGCAGCTGGGGAATCTAGATCTAAGTCCACAGCCATGAGGGGCTGCGACCAGAAGGGTGGCCTGAAGAGCTGCCTGAGCCACGGGGTGCCAGGGGGAGAGAAACTGGCAGTCACATGGTTCTTTTGCCTCTGTTTTGTCTTTGCTTTAATTTGCTAAACCCTGTTCATGGGACTTTCAATTGCAAACACTCACCGAGGCTATGATGCAGGTAGAGGTGCAGATTTGTGGAGTCTGGGAAGAGGCAGTGGAGGAGAACAGGACAGTGAGAGGTGATCAGGAGTTCATGATTCTCCAAATCTAAGCAGCCATTTTTCTCCTGGAGAGCCAGCGCCTCCCAGCTGCCTCAAGGGAGCTAATACAGCCATACACAGCCTACACCTTGAGCTTTACAAAGGAAATAAAGACTGAATAGCCCCACGGAGTCCTCAGGGACTGGTTTGAACAGGGGCCATTCAGTACCAGATAGCGATATAGCACCACTCCCACCGAAAGCCCTGTCAGAAACAGACGTACCTCAACATAATAAAAGCCTTATATGACAAACCCTCAGCCAACATCATACTCAATGGACAAAAACTAAAACTATTTCCCCTAAGAACAGGAATAAGACAGGGATGCCCACTTTCATCACTCCTGTTTGACATAGTACTAGAAGTACTATCCATAGTGATCAGACAGGAAGAAGAAATAAAAGGCATCCAAATTGGAAAAGCAGGGGTTATACAGTCATTATTCACAGATGAAATGATATTGTACATAGAAAACCCTAAAGACTCCATCAAAAAAACTACTAGACTTAATAAATTAATTCGCTAATGTAGCAGGATACAAAATTAACACCTAGAAATATATGGCCTTTTTATTCACCAATAATGAACTCACAGAAAGAGAAACTAAAAAAACAATCCCATTACCATTCCAACAAAAAAATTAAGATACCTAGGAATAAACTTAACTAAGGAAGTAAAAGACATACTCGGAAATCTACAGGACATTGAAAAAGAGATAGAGGAAGACATAAACAAGTGGAAGAACATACCGTGTTCATGGATTGGTAGAATCAACATCATTAAAATGCCCATACTACCCAAAGCAATCTATAGATTCAATGCACCCCCATTAAGATACCAACGGCATATTTCACAGACCTAGAAAAAACTCTCCAAATATGAAATAAAAATAAATAAATAAATAAATAAATA